CACTACTCAACCTACACTACTGATATCCAAAGAAATATACAAACCCAACATGCAACAGATGCACCCAGGCAATCGAAAACAACACCTATTGGTTGATATGCTCAAGAAACCCAACAACTTCATGCCAATTGATAACAGAGATACCTACAAAATATTGTTTAAAACATAATAATCAATTACCAGACCTTGCAATACTAATACAAAGTTTTTTCATAAATGATACAGATACACCTAACACCCTGCTACTAAAAGGATTAATCCCAGAGGATATTCAGACCATTACTTCAATTCACAACAGAACATTTGTTAAACTCTTATACAAGATATCAACTAACATATATAAACAAATATGGCTTGAACGCTGTAAAGGCGTACATCAGAATAGACCCTCACTGATACATTTACCCCTATAACCTTGACTCACCCTTCTACACAGCATACTAGTACAAGTAAATATAATAAATGAGAGACTCTGTTCCTCACAACTAACATATCTTCATCGTATATAGCTAAACTAAATCTAGTGGAGGCCAGGTAGCCCACTTTAGTAGAGCTTTGGGCCGAGGATAAATTAGTCCTAGCTGTAGGTCCCTGTAATAATTCATGTAATCCATTTAAATAATGTAACGCATAATTATTCAATAAAGACCGAGGCCAGGCCTCACTCTTAAAAAAAAAAAAAAAAAAAAAAAAAATGAAATTTCTGAGATAATTCAGGTTCAGATAAGTGTTTTATTACTTTTTAGTTAAATAATTTATTCTTTTAAGTACTTTCGATAATTCTTTATTTTATTTTTTTTTTTAGCAGGTACTGTAGCAATTATATTTAGTATTAGCTTGATCGTGAACCAAGTTCACTATATCAAATAATAAGGTGGTTCTGCAGAACCACAGGATTAGAGTTTATGATTATGTAAATCATAGAATTATAATCTAAATTTTATAAATTTGACTAGAACATTTTTCTCAATATAAAAATAAGATATATGGGATAAGAACTAATGACTTTTAATGACTCAATACAAAAATATAATCACGGTGACAAGAAAATATATGATTTTTTAATTAAAGCATACAGGTTAAAGGCAAACACATATACTAATCACTTCAAAATTTTCAGACTCCAAGAGATTTTATTTCACATATAAATGGCATTATTTTTATAATTTTACAATGCTATTGTATATATTGTTAATTTTTTGCTACATTCAACTAATTCACTTAATTTCTTTAATTAATTTAATTTATCTAATTCATTTAATTCAATTTATTCAATTAATCGCATTAATGCAATTAATTAAATTAATTGCATTAATGCAATTAATTAAATTAATCACATTAATGCAATTAATTAAATTAATCAAATTTTGTATAGCTTTCTAACTATAGTAATCATTTCTTTTTATCTACTATTTTGGGGTTTGTAGTACTAATATATTAATGTTTTACTAAATTTGATCAAAGAAAAATATGTCTGGTTCCTTTACAACATATATACATATGTACACATATATATATACATACGTACATATGTACAAGATATTTTTATTTAATAATTCTCTTTTGCTTACTATTTAGAAGTTCTTCTTAAATACCAAAATAAAAAAGCAAGCAATTTTAATTATCCATAATCATCTATGTCCCAATTATTATCATTATTGTCTTTGTCAATAACCAGGCTTTCATCTATAAAATTATTTGATATAGTTTGATTAGAAAAAAATAGATTATTAATATCAATTAATTGTTCAATTATAAACTCTAATGCTGAATCTACAATAGCTTCATGTTCTATTTTTTCTTCTTCAAAAAAAATCTCTAATTCACTTTCTAATTCTGTAGAAGTTGAAGTATCATTATCCCAATCATCAATATAATAGTTTTCTTCTAATTTACTAGGATCTTTATCAGCACTTATTTCTCTATCTTGAGTTAAATTTTGATTCGAATTTCATTAGATTCATTTTGAGACAACCAAGTTTTCGTTTGACCTATAATTTTTAATATATTAGTTTGTATATTATTACAATATTTTGTGTTTTGATATCCAAGAATTGAAAAAAATCTTTCAGTATCAGCTGTATAAGGAACAAGAGCAAATAAATGCTTAATAAATACAACAAGTGCAGCATATTTTGAATTTATGATATGACTTCAATATTTATTTGGATTATCTTGTGAAATTTCTCTATCTAAACTAAAATCATCAATAAAATATAAATAATCTGCCAACCCATCTTTTATATCTAGTGCTGATTGCTTATTTTAATTCTATTTTTTTACTAGTTTAATTGCAATATTTTGTATATCCTGAAAAGTTTTTGTTTTTGAGACAGCAAGTTTTCGAGTTTTTAGATTACAAAAAATCGCTAAGAAACAAAGATCTAAATCAAATTCTATAAACCGCTTATTATAAATTTGACAAGTATAAAGTTTAAGATCATAATAATAATAATAATTATTATTATTATTATTAAATAGAGAAATTAGATCTTTGCCTAAGCAAATTAATGATAAAAATGCATCTGCCAATGTTGTATTTGTAGATTCTAATTTTTTAATAGCATTATTGACTGGTTCTAGTATTTTCATTATCATCTTATTATCTTTCCAATGATTTCGGTCTTCAATAATTTAAATTATTTTAGAAGCTAATCCAGTCTTTAATTGTTTAGCTTCACTATGATTAAGGAGTTGACAAAATCTAGCTTTATGAAGATATATTGATTTATATTATTATATACTGAATACCAACGAATATTAGTCCAAGCTACTAATCCATGCTTTATAATTGGTTGAGTTTAATGCCAATTTTCTAACCATTTTGACCAAATATGTGATGTTTTAAAAAAAGATGTTAATTTATTATTTTTTATTATAACCTCTTTAGTAATAGGATATGAGAGGATGCCTTTACAAATAAGATTAATTAAGTGCAAAATATATCTGAAACCAGTAATCCAAGGATACCTTAAATTTGTTAAAAATAAAAATAAAATAATAATCATATTATATATATTATTAAAAGTTAATTTATTTAAAATTTACCTTTGTGATATAATTCTATAGCATTTTTTCATTATATTTGGATTATTAGTTACAACCCAACTAAATTGCTCTATATCTAATCTAATTTTTTTAATTACTTCTATAGCCATATCTGCAATATTTTCTCTAGTATGATGTTGATTCTCAAACTCTTCTAAACCTAATACATGAATTTCTCTATAACTAGTTACAGCAAGAAATGCATAAACTGAATTATTTAAAATTGTTGTCCAACCATCAAACATTAATGTCAAATCTCTACAAAGCTTTAATGAGTCAATTATTTTTAAAAGAATTCGGCTATAAATTTTAGGAATTAAGTCACAAATAAGTTTATACTTTGATGGTAGAGAATAACTAAGATTAAGAAGACCCAAAAAATCATGAAAATATTTGTTTTCAACTATACGAAAAGAAATACCACAAGTAATAAAAAATTTAACTAATGATTCATGAATTAAATTAATTTTTTCATGAGGTAAAGGACAGGTATAATAAGAATCAATTGTTGTTAATGATGAAGTTGAGAAAGTTTTTTGTTTTTTTAAAGCTGATAAAGTATCATCAGAAACTTGATCATTATTATCTATATTTTATTTTTGCTAGTATGAGAAGCAGTAGTTTTTTTAGCATAAATTTCAATAAATTTAAGCTTATCAGATTGTGAAATATTTTTGCAATAATCAATAATATGAAAATACATTGCATCTATTCTTCTGTCAAGATCTTGATTACAATAGTTGCATTCTACAAGATATCTTTTTGTTTTCAAATCATGTAATCCAGTTTTTTCAAAAGCATTCCAAATTGGATCTAATAGTAGCATTTTATTTGGCTTTATAGATTTTTTAAATAATATAAACTTTTCTTTAATATAGTAATAAAAGTGAATATTGTAAATTACAAAAGTGATAATAAAGAAAATATGTCTTTTTATAATTAAATTAATATTTATCAATTTTACTTTTTTTAATTTAATATATTGCTTATTTATTTTTTTTTTTACTTCAGCGATCCTACTTTTATTTTATGTATCGGCAGTACATTACAGCAAGAATTCAGATGGCTAATCCTACTGACTAACTATTAAGTCCAAATAAAAATTCTCTCGATTTATCTCATTATCGCAGTAGAATTCGAGCAAAGCCAGATTTCTATGCTAGAGTGTGACCCAGGAGCGACCCGCCTAAGTAGTTTTCCTCCTTCTGGGATCCTCAACTTACTGAGGATATGAGCCCTAGCTATCAACAGATGGTTTTACCGACCTTGTCAGAATCACCGCTCTACAATAGAGTGCCGCCAATCTGATGACACTTTCTCATAGAGAAGTAAAAAAGAAAAAAAAAGAGTAAGTGCAAAACGTAAATGGGGAAAGTAAAAAATCCTCTAACAGTTTTCCTATCAAGCCTGCCTCTTCGCTATACGAGATTAAACAGGGGGTCTTCCTTATAGTCTACCGGTATCATTGG